GAGCAAAGCAGATGCAAATTTGTTTCTGAGGAACACTGTCATAATGTAGAATTTAAAGGATTTTTCACAAAAGAGAAGTTCCACTGAAGATGAGTAATGAACAAAAATTTGCAGTCATGACAAGAAATAAGCCATCATCAGGAGGAGTTTGCAACAAAAGAAAAATAGCAACGTCAAAACAATATAATAGAAAAAATAAACAAGATAATTAGAAGCAAGAAAATGTAAGAAGCCGCAATAAATAAACAGGGCAGCTTAAGAGAAAATGAAGAGTCAAATATGTCTTGTAAAAGTGAAAATTCAGCCCTTGGATTGAAAACTCAGTAAATGTAGGAAGCACTGACTACCAGAGATGGGAAAGAATTAGTGGTCAGAACATTGCCCTCATCCAGAATAAAATGATGAAGAATGGCTGATGGGAACACAGGAGAGAGGAACACAGTTCAAAGCCATGAAAGATAAAATGAGAGACTCAGACATGTGTCCTCACAGGAGCCCCGGCAGGGATGATACAAAATGGGTGAGACTGAAGATGCGCAGGCTGAGGGCTTCAGGTAAATAAAGCACACTAACTTCTCAGCAGGCAAAAGAAGACTAAACCTTAGTGGCCATTTTCCATAAATCTTCCGGGAAGCAAAAAAAGGGACACTCGCCCCTTATTTACCTTGATAACAAAATCAGAAGAAAAAAAATTCAGAGCAGTATCTCTCATGAACATAAAATACAACTACCCTTAGAAAGTATCAGCAAATTGAATCTAGAATTTTATGCAGCAAGGACCACATAACATGATCAAACAAAGTTTATCCAGGGAATGAAAGGCGATTCAAGATTTGAAAAATCAATTGTTATAATGCACCACATTGATAATTTCAAAGAAAGAAAACCATCATGTTAACAATAAGAAGGAACAGTTGGCAAGGTGCTGCATGCACTCGTGATAAAAATTTTAAACAAACAAGGAATTAAAGTTTCTTTAACCTGAAAAAGGCATCTATGGAAAATCTACAGCAAAGTGCACAGTTGTTGGTAAAACACAGAATGCTTTTCTGCTTCAGACTGCAAATAAAACAATGATTTCTGCTTTCCCTTGTCCCGTTCAATGTCCTAGTCGCAGTCTTACCAAGTATGAGGCTCCAGAAAAGAATCACAAGCCAACCAGATTGTAAAAAAAGAAACATAACTTTCTCTGCAATTTCCCCTCAGATTTCAAATAGGCCTAGCTAGAAATTCTGTAAATACTTCTTGGTGTTGTCCGTTATTAATTGAGGCTTTGAGTTTATTAATATTTCATAAGAAAACAAATCATAAATACATTTCTTTCAAAATAGTTTATAGTCAGGATGTTGACAGTTTCCTCCCCGAAACCAAATTACTTGATTTCTTTCTTTCGGTTCCATTTTTCTTCTGAAAACTCTTTCATGACCTCTGCTGTCCGTTCTGTTGAATAAATAACATTCACTGACATTCACATGTAGATGGTAAGAAATCCTCCCTCCATCTACATCTATATTTAGATAGCAAAAGTCTTTGATTCATTGTATCAGTCTTGGGGAACAAAATAGGCTAAAAAATGCTCTAAACTGTTTTGATTATAGTTGCAAAATTTCTTCACTATTAATAACACAATGAACTCACAATCTCACTACTTAGAAATTGCTGTCATCAAATGGTACATGCCCTTCTGTAATTGATCGCTATATAATAGAACATTACATTTTCCTTCATAATTATTACAGAATTGGAATCATACTAGACATATAACTTGGTATTATTTTCATTGAACATTATATTATGCAATATTTCTTATTTCATTGACTCATCTTCAAGATATAATTTTTAAATTGCATAATATTACAAATGCATATTAATTTAATTACCACTTTCTCACTTGAGGGCATATCAATTAGTCCCATTCTTTCCTATGATGAATTTACCTGTAAGACAACGCTCCTTGCACATCCCGAATTGTATGCTTACAGCCCTAGGTGCACAATTTCTGGGGCACAGATAACGCTTCTTCCCCGAGCACTGGAGACTGAACCCAGGGTCTTCCCAATGTGCTAAAACCTCTGCCCTTTTTATTTTCAGACAAGGTCTTGGTTAAGTCACTAAGCTGCCCAGGCTGAGCTCAAACTTCAACCCTCCTGCCTCAGCCTTTCAAGGTGCTGGGATTACAGGCATGGGCCCTTATGTCCAGTTAGATACAAATATTTTTAAGGCTTTTCATGCTTGTCGATGAAGTAAACTCTGAAAGGCTTATGCTAACTTACACTCTCAGCAGAAGCATATGTTCATGACCATCGAAATGGTGTTTTCTTTTTAAGCCGAAGAGGCAAAACTATGAAAAGAGAAAAGTTTATATCTGATTCTCTATTTATGAGATGCGTCATTTTTTCTTCAAAAGTGTCAGAAAATTAGGATTTTTTGGTAGCAAGAGCAGAGAGTCAGATATTTCGGCTGCTTAATTGTAATGTTTCTGAATCTGTTTCCTCAGGTATAATGCAAGAATAGTAACCGTGGTGTGTTGTCCGGTTCTCCTGCTCTCATCCCCTCGTCTCTCTGCCAACATGCCGATGTTCGTCCTGAACACCAACGTGCCCCGCACCTCCGTGCCAGACGGGTTCCTCTCCGAGCTCACCCAGCAGCTAGCGCAGGCCACTGGCAAGCCGGCCCAGTACATCG